ATTTTAGGCGTGTATCTCTCTAAGCAAACTGCCTTTAAATCGGCTCAAGCAAACATTTTGTTCGCAGTGTAGGTACCTGCGCAACTTGGCGTTACCCCGGAGTATCTAGATGCCAATTTTCGATTATTTGATGCTTTCAACGCCTTTATTTGATGCTTCGAACGCCTTTATTTGATGCTTTGAACGCCTTTATTTGATGCTTCGAACGCCGATAAAGGAATAAGATAAGCTTTGATTCCTTTATCATAAACAGACGCTAACGTTGAGCCTTATTGGAAACTGTGTGTAGAAAGTATCATAGTTGCAAAGCTGTTACCATGGTGATGGACTTAAGTTTTGTATCGCGGGAAATGATTCGAGCTTTCTTCTAATAAGATCTTAAATTAATTCTTGTTCTATATGACTCTGATTTTTAATGTCTTATTGTTTTGAAAGTTTTTGATTTGAAATATTGTTCGCTGTAGCTGTGAAATTTCTAAGATTGTTTAAATACGAGCTTTATTATGATTAAATTATATGCATAATTTTTAGTTTTTTTTCGTAATTCAAAATTTCGTTATTTGTTCATGATTCAGAAATTGATTGCGTCCATTATTAATCTGAAATATGATGTCGCTTATAATTGACTTTAATTTATCTTTTACGTTTATTAGTGCTTGAGAACAAAGTTATTAAAAAAAAAAAAAAAAAGAAAGAAACCTCGCAGAAAAGTATGTGAAATTGGCTTTAGTTTTCTGCGTTTGTCATTGCCGTTATGAATAAGTTTAAGAAGAAATTAATCAAAGAACCACGGCCATATGTGGGAATCAAACGAAAATTTAAAGAAGAAAATGTTCCTCAAGAAATTTCTGATGTATATTGTGCAAATTTTATTTATATATTTATTTTTAATATATTGTAAATAGTAACATAAATTAAACAGCTTTTATCTTAGTTAAAATTTATTTTATGTTACATGTATATTATACAGATTACATTTTTATTTATATTATAGGTATTTGAGGAATCAGACAAATATCCTCCACTCTTTTCTGATCAGATGCGCACAAAGTTTGTTGCCTATAAAGCAAGAGAATATCGTCACTATCCCAGTAATCTTATTGGTGCTAATTATAGAGGTGGCTCCCAAAATCCTGATGCTCGCAACATATACAAGCTACGTCTGCCTCCTATGAAGATCACTCCTGAACTCAGAAATATCCTTTTCTCTTTTATTTATATTTTGGAAAATATTCCAAAAGGGGGGGAGTATTGAAGTTTTTATCTACATTTTTACATTACTTGTGTTCAGTATCTTATCTGTTGTCATTATGCTAATATTTATACATACAGAACCAGTGCTAAACATTTTGCTGTCCGGTACAAATCATGTGGGTCCTAAATTTTGCTCTCCTGTATTCAATGCTACCCCTGAAGTTGTTCAGTGCTACCCATAAATTAAAAAAAGTTTGGACACCCTGTGTAGTCATATAAGTTGCACCAACTCTGGTGAAGAACCCTGTGAGAGAAAGAAGATTGTTTGAATATCTGTTCAAAGTTATGCAAGGTAGAGAACACTAAACAGCTAGTTGTGGTTAATAATTATGTTTTCATAGATATCACCTTTTTGATGCTCAGAAGCAATGTGAGACTTTTTGAGATTTTATTTTATAGTTTTAATACTTTTGCAAAATTATGAACAGTTATGTTATGAACAGTTTCCTTTATGACATATCCTGAAGCATCAGACACTTTCATGCTTTAATTTTGTGAAGCTGGAACATCTTTTAAACATGAATCATTGTAAAAGCATTGTTCGTATTTTTGTTTTTCAGTTATACACTTACAGTATCATGTAGTACCAAAGAATAAAGTCTTAAAATGTAGTGTTTATTAACAAAAACATTTGTTTTCATGAGTATACGTATGCAGAATTGTATCTATCTGTTTTTACAACATTTTCTAGCTGCCCAGACAGCATAGTGGTTTGGGGAGCCTACTGTGGTACCGAAGGGCCCAGGTTCGAGTCCCGGAGAAGGCATGAATGTTTGTAAATGTATAGTGTCTTTCCAGCATGGGGCACTCTAAATATGTGGCAAGCTGAAAGTCTTCTGGAGATGTTGGTGGTAGGGGAAGAGAGGTGAGAGACCCTCAGACCCTTCCCTCTGGGAAGAGAGGGGGCTCCATCATGTAAGTTGAGGGGTGGAACTCAGCAAAATCGTACTGTCATTTATATGGTGTTCAAGGCTGCTGCTAATGACAGGTGCAGTCTTGCTGTTCTTGCGATGATAAATTTTGTGGTCTTGTTCTGATGTTACTGTCAGATAAGTGAGATAAGTTACATGCAACATTTTCTTTGATAGATTTTTGGGTACTATTCGGTTTTGAGGGCCGTAAAAAATCACCAAACTAGTGTTGATGCCACTGATGCCGAAAATAATTGCTGCAACCCTAACGCAAGAAAGGAAGTATAATAGTAAATAACTATCTAAAATGGATGTTTTGAATTAGATGAAAGGTTTATTTCATATAATATTTTTTATTATTATAATTTATATTAAAAAAGGCTGAACACGACTGAATGGAAGCATAAGAGTAAATAACTATTTCAGATCATTATTATAATTTATGTAAAAGTTGCTAAACATAACTGAATGGATGCCTGCATTGCTATTTCGCTATCGAGTTATCGTTAAAGTATAATTCATTTCGTTGTTTGTTCAAACATAATTTTCTATAATGAATGATGCCTTTTCTTTGGAAAAATTCTGGGTAAAGTGCAGAATCGCCCACTTATTTGTTTGCTGCTTTTTACAAGGGTTAAAAACAATTGGATTTTTGTCAATTTTCTTTTACTTTTTACGTGAAAATAGGTCGATGTGTACATAGATAAAGTCAAGGGTGTGCGCAGTGCCATTTTTGTGCAATTCTGGGATTTTTTTTTAAGTGAAAATAGGTCGATGTGTACATGGATACTGAGTATGTGCAATTCTTAAAAACGCGTCAAGCAGTGAGTGATTCTGCACTATATTCAAAATTCTATTGCAGACTTTTCGTCATGGGCAATTCCCAAATTATTAAATCCATAGGGTATCAAAAAAGGATTTAAAAATTAAACTGGTATTTCAATGGCGTCTTAAGAAATCTAGAACTATATAAACTTATGCAATCTGAAATCAGCGCGTATACTAGATTAGGTGCACTGTTTAAATGGGTGCGTTTGCTAGATTTGGCGCTTTTGCTCATACATTTTCGCTGCAATTTTTTTACGGTCCTCAAAACAGAATAGTACCATAATTTTTAAATAACTTAAATTCTAAGTTACGATTATTTAAGATTTCATCATTTTTTTCCTTAAGTGAGAGTAATTAGGAAAGTGGTTATTATAAATATATAACATTAATAGTAGGTTTTAAGTAAATAAAACTCAATTAGCCAGAAATAAAAGTAAAGATATATGTGGGTAAAAAATAGGTTCTGATATGTGGGTTTCTGATAATAGCATTATCATATTTATTTCTGTTAAATCTCAGAGACATTGAAAATTGCTGTCATGATAAATTATGAAGCGGCTCTTAAGGTAACATAATTAGTATCAAAAAAGGATTTAAAGATTAAACTAGTATTTCAATGGCATCTTGAGAAATATAAAACTGTATAAACTTACACAATCTGAAACCAGCGAATATGCTAGATTTGGCGCGCTGTTAAATGGGTGTGTTTGCTAGATTTGGCGCTTTTGCGCATACACTTTCACTGCAATTTTTTTTACAGTCCTCAAAATGGAATAGTAACGATTTTTTTAATTCAAAATGCTGTATGCATTTGCTGATAGAAGTTTATTTTCATAGGTATAACTGTTTTCATTTGTTGATATTTATTTAGTTTTCATAACACAATGACATTCATTTGACAGATATATTTTTCAAATTTTATATATGAGAAGGTATTTTTATTTTTGTATGCATATATGGATTTACTTTAGTGTCAGCTTATGCAAATACTTGCAGTTGCAAAAAATATATAGCAAAAAAATGTGCTGAGATTTGAGTCATAATCAGATTTATCAATAGTTGATGTCATCAGCTGATCAGAATTCAAATTTTTTTACTGGATTATATCAAAAACAAAATTGAAATATTTATTCATGTATCATTAATAAGATAAGTCCAGCAAATATTTTAGTAGGTAAACTAATTTCTAATCAACAAAAATAGCCAATGGAAAATATTTATAATTAAGTGTGCTAAATTCTAATAAAATCAGGTATTTAAATTTTAGTACAGTCACCTTAATAGAAGTGACCAAATTTTCAAAATGAGCCAAATTCTTTCAATCATACACATAACGATTCTTTAGACAACCATGCTCATAACATTTCTTCAGTCATGGAATATCACCATTTTCGTATGCATTCCTTTTGTTGTATTTCAATAGTGTTTATAGAAAAATTGTGATATTTCTTACCTTAAACTCGGTTACAAAACATGCACTTGTGGAATTTGTTACCACTGAAAGAAATTGAAAACATTTCTGCAGAAATGTATATTTTGACACAAAATCCTTATAGTACAAAACAGTTGCTTTGAATATGGGGTTAAAGTAATTACCATGACATTTCCATCAGAAGAAAAGAATAAAAACCAGTGTAAATAGATTTATTCATTGATTTTCAGAATAAATATCTAATTAGAATGTAAAACATATGTATAATAAATAATAAAGGAATTATCATTGAAATTAATGTTGACTTTTGTTATCATTCTTTTCACCTGTAAAAAATCACTAAGTTGGGTCAAGGCAGTTAGTTGCATACATAAATACCAAAAATTATTTCATATTTTGTTTATCAAAATTTTTGTAATAAAAGTACTTTTACTGTTATCATTTTTAGTTTGGCAGTATTTGGCATGTAATTTTTCTAATGTGAAGAGTTTAAATAAACTGACATGTACTTAATATTTAAATATGAAAGCATATTCTTGCCTAGCTGTGCTCCTTAATTAAATGAATACAGAAAATTCGAGAACAACCTTCTGTAAAATCTAAAATAAGAAAAGGGAAATCTCTTCAGAAAGATAAAATTTTAATTCTGGATGAGTAAGTAAATTTATTCATTTCATATTTTTATAAGCTTGTTATTATTTGTAAAATAGCTTCTGGTAAAACTATATTTGACTGTGCCCCCTTGGTGATTTTTGGTGGTACATGGACACAGAGTTTATGCAGTTCTTTGATTCGTTATTTTAGCTTTGCTTAACGGCAATTTTCGCGCCAAAAATCGCTGGTGAACAATGCCAAAATAACAAGTCAAAGAAATGCACAAACTTGGTATCCATGTACACATCGACCTATTTTCACTTAAAAAAAATTACAGAATTGCACAAACTCGCCATTGTGCACAAAAAATATATAATCTCAATAAACTGCATTTTAAATTAAACAATGAAATAATATAAAAAAGCACTATGCACTACACAAAGGAAATAGCCACCTACCAATTTTAGAAATTTCTCTGTCTTCAGTCTGTGGCAAACAAAATTCCTAAACAGCATCCAAAAACTTTCTTCAAACCATATTCCTTTTCTAATCATGCCCCCTTTTCATATTTTAATGCTACAGTGTATTGTAAGCCATTATTCGGAACGCTTTATATGGTGACCATTTGAACCTTTCTTGCGGCAAACCTATTCAAAGCCATCTGAATGATCTTGACATTTCACCATATGCATTTCCTTTGTACAAACTGGACACTTATAACTGCTACTAAGTAAACCTTCATTTACACAGCAGTCAATTAATGCTCCCCCCCTTCGTTCCAGATCCTATAGAAATTTCAAATTAATCTTACCACATTCAGCCATTTTATAGTGTAAACCACAAAATAAGCAACTTCCTAACCAACATCCAACATGCAAATAAGCTCTTACAAACCTTTTCCCATCAGTCAAATTCACGCAGCCAATTGCATCATAATAGGGTTTTCATAACATTCAACTACTCAAGTTACCATAAATGAAACAACAACTTGGCGAGGGCACCATCAAATATAGGCTAGCCTAGCTTCCTTTATAAACTGGTTATAGGGAGAAAATAGTATGATTTAATTAAATAAAATAATTATATGCTAAATGTACATATATAATATACTGAACTTCATTAAATAAATGAACAAGTATAAATGTTACAGTTTCATTTGTCAATTAACCAGAGTTAAATCTAAAATCCAGTGTGTACTATTTTTTTATCCAGCTTAAATAATTACTTATTTTAGTGTTTCTCTAATTCAGCATTAAGAGAAAAAGAATTATGAGCATTTTTCTAAAATATTGACATTTCCTTTTCTGTAAGATTTTCAGCTAGGAAGCCACAGATTATATCTCCTTAAATACTGATCCTAGACATATACTTCTAATTATAAATTATTCTTTTCAAAATAAGATAAGTGAAATATTCGCAAATAGTTTCAACGCTGAGAGTAAAATGATTTGTAAGTACAGATAGATGTAGAAAACCCTAATGGTTTTTAAGATGAAATAACGCAGTAAATATAAAGAACTCGTTTTTATTCATATTTTAATGCTACAGTGTATTGTAAGCCATTATTAGGATAAAAATAAAAACTATGCCAACATAAAGTTCTGAAAAGGATAATTAAATGCCATCTTCCTCATTCTCAACACTGCTGGAATCAAATAGCAAAACTTCCCAGAACATTTAATTGCATTTCTCGCAATATGGTGGCTATTTTATGCTGATTCAAGTTAAGGTATATCACTTCTCGATGTACTTCTTCGATTTTAAATAACCCGTAGGAAGAATTTGAAAGGCTGAATTGACCGTGACGGCTATACAGTACCTCCATGTCAAGAGACTGAAAGTTCAAGTAAATAGCCTCCGTAACACTTTTATCAAATCCGTAGCTGTATGGGCAGAAACTACAGATCAGTTTTATTTATGCACCTTCTGAAAAGTTCTGGAACAAAAAAAAAAAATTCTGATGCATTGTAGCTTATCATTCTCATCCATTGTTACTGTTTGATAATTTTCCTTAAAGAAATACAAACATCACTCCAAACTTTAATGTTTCACACCACACTGTAACCATATGTGAGTATATTGGAACTCATGAAGTTTTCTGCAGTTTCGCTTATCAACTCCAGCAGTATGGGGACTAACAAATTTTTTTGTAACATTTATAAGATCTCATTTGCAGACCTTAAAACTGATATTACTTTTATTCATTTATTTATTTTTTCAATAATGGCATACATTTGTGAGTATATTGGAACTCATGAAGTTTTCTGCAGTTTCGCTTATCAATTCCAGTAGTATGGGGACTAAAAAATTTTTTGTAACATTTATAAGATCTCATTTGCAGACCTTAAAACTGACATTACTTTTATTCATTTATTTTTTTTTCAATAATGGCATACATTGAATTGTAAAGCTATAATTGGAATAAAAAATTGTATTTAGTATATTATTTGATTTCAGAAACATAGGTTTTTTTTTTTTTTTTTTTTTTTTTTTTTTTTTTCCACACCCACTACAGTAGTTTACTTTTTAAATAACTCTGATTTTTACTAAAAGCAGTAAAATATCTGCTATGCATCTTTAAAAAGATACAAAGAGATTCATATGTTTATTTTCAAAGTTTGATGGATATATTTGAGACTAACAGTTTCATGAAGTTAACAGCAAATACTCAGAGTTAATGCAAATGCTGTTTTGCTGAGCATTAACCGCCAAAATAAGCAATTTTTGCTTATTCTGGCAAATAATCTTAAGTTCTGTACTAAAATTATTCTTTAATACTGATTAAAAGTGAAACTTTAATTACGTATTCAAAATCAGATCTGATTTATCAAATTACTAATGTTTTATAGTTCAGAAAAATTATGAAATACTTAAGAGCCATTATTAGTACTATTACTATCATTAGTACCAAAGCAGCTCATTTTATAAATCCAACAAAGTGGGGCTTCAAAACATAAGTAAGAGAATCAAGTATAAAATTTTATAATATCTGGAACATGATCGTTTTTAAGTAGCTTTCCATTTAAACTTATTTGTTATCTCTCTTTCAGATTTTTTTATATTATTTTTTAAATACATTTCTATATTTAGTATTTTGGATTTAGAAAGATTTCTGATTCCTGCAATCCAGATATTCATATTTAAATCTTGTAAAATTTCAGATTCTGCTTTGTGTTCGTCCCCTTCCAGAAAAGTACAGATTACTGTATTTACTAAATTTCTTGTTATTCTTTATTAGTGTCAATATGCATAACAGTATGTAAATACATGAAATTTCAAATAACTAAGCTGAAGTATTTTGAGTTGTTAACAGATATATTCTTTGATTATGTTTAGCTTAGTTTGATTTGGTTTACACTTGAGTACTTGAGAGCTATCTGCACTTGAGGCTATCAGCACTTGAGGGCTATCTGCCTAAGGGGAGGGATGCTTTTGGGGAGGACTTTCTAAGTGAGCTCGTATATGAGTTACACATAAGGAAAATCATAAAAGTGTTCATGCGACCAGCCTGTTAACCAAAATTTGAACTCTAAACTTAACTCCTGACTTTATTGCTTGGCTGCTGGTGAACTTCTTTTATTATGTTAACCAATAAGATTGTTAATTTCCCATTTTTTTCCCCCCTTTGAATCATAAGTCTTAAGTTTGCAGTTAGAAAAATTTAACTGAGTTTTTTTAATAGTAGTCCTCTGCCAATTGCTGTAGGCATGTATAGCAAAAAATAATTTCTAATTGATTGAGGTCTTAAATTAAACATTTAAAGTAGTTAATTCACTTCTAGGAGATTATTGTGATTTCTGTGAAATTTTTTCAATTAAAAAAATTAATTATGGTATTCCACTCATAAATTTAGCTGCCTGAAATTTCATCTTCGATAATATTTTATGAATTAATGTATTGTCTGTAATATTTTATGAATTGTCTTTTTCTTCTTTATTTTTAGACCAATGAGCCCACGAGCACAAAGAAATAAATATACTGTCATACCGGAGCAACCTTCTGGTGAAAGCTTAGAAGTAATTCTTGTTTTCAAAATTTATCTTCAAATTAAAATGAATTTCTTCATTTTAATGTTACAGAAAATTTTGATTCTCTTATGTATTTTGACTAAGTACATTAATAGTTTTATTTCATTTCGAAATTTTAGTAAGCTATAGTTAAGTTTCTTAGAGTATTTTTAAATATCCTAAATAGAAGGATTATTATTCTAGATTCATTTTTGGTGCTATAATTCTTTGCTTAATTCATTTTAGTGTATGAAAGCATTAAGAATTAAGGATTCCTTCCATTTGTTTTTGTACTGTAGTGAGTGTAACATTCAGTTAGCAAACTCAAAAGTCTAAGTTTAGTAAAATTCCAAAATTTGGATTTAGTTTATTTTCAAGATTTTTTCCCTTTAAAAAAAAATTGAGCTTAAACTGTGATAGAGCCCAGCATTGGTACATCTCAGTTTTTGAGATAAATTGCATTTCTAACCCAGAATCTATATTATGTATGCGCCATTACTTCTTTTTTTAAGAATTTGAACCAGTTTCCTTTTTTCAATCTTGTAATATTTTAATATAATAATAAAAATTTATTAAAAACTAGTTGAGAATAGAATACTAATTAATAATATATGCCTTTCTCTTAATGGAAATTGAAACTTTTAAGACGAAAAAAATGGCCATCTATAAGTTGAAACTCTTACCTTTTAAGAAGTATAGTAGTTTACAAGAGCATGTATGGGAATTTTCATATCCAAAACTACCACTGGCGATCGCCTTAGTTATCATAATCTTCACATTCATCATAGACTGTTTCAGTTATGCACAATTTGCAACAGGATAATGAAGGGGAACTATTCTTTATATTCTTAAGTGCACTACAAATTGCAAAGGGCTTAACATCGCAAAATACTAGGACAAATGGCTCAAATACACCCAACACTAGTGACTTCTCATGGAAAAGAGCACCCATGAACTTTGAGAACTGTAACCAACTAAAGGATATGAAAATTGTCACTTATAAAAAGTTTACAGATCATCCTCAGATTTTGAGACTGACTTTTTTTAAAAAATTGTATTGGCAGGAGGAATCATATTTCACTCTTCTATTTCTGTCTTTGTACCTAATTTTTTTTTTTTTTTTGGTTAAAATCCTCTTCCATAATCGCATACCTTTTCTATCATTCTCTGTATTCTAATTAGTGAAAAAATAACCATTTGACCTTTTTTTAACTGATGTCATGGAAAAGGAATGATTTTTGGTTCTACCATCCTTCGAAATTGCACATTTTACTATATTATTTACATTCGATATTAGTACTTACATTACTTACACACATTTACATGAAGTCTGGCTTCAGTACTCCTAGTTTTTGAAGGAAACTGTGATTCTAGCCATAGCCCAAAATAAACAAGGTCCAGTATTTTATTTTTTAAAGCTTTGTCATTAATTTAATTTAATTTATAAATTTTTATTTAACTTTAATTATTTTATAATTTTGTTAGTCCAAAGGGGCTTTGTCCCTCAAGGACTATTGTTTTGATTTTGTGTTTTTGGTGTCGGAACCCTATAAGCGGCTTGCACTTTACAAATCGCTGCCACCAAACACAATCACCCTGTATTATATTTGAAGAATCTGCATAAATGTATGTATGTTTCTTGCATTGTGATAAAACAACTGAACCTAGAGCCATCCACTTTTGAATGATGTAATCCTACTGTGAATATGGGCATCTGATAGCCCAAATTTGAAATTCGGAATTTGTTTTATTACCAATTTCATATTTTGTAAAACTTTAACGAACTTTTGATTAACAAACTCAACGATTTAAAAGTGAGCAATGGTAACACTCTACGGGGGGGGGGGGACTATTTTATCTCCAGCGTGCTGAACTGTGTATCAGAAATTCTAAAGATATACTCATTTTAAAATTATTTTGGTACATTGTTGTTGAACTGAATTTTATGTTTTAAGTGCAAAGAACATGATATTTAATAAATAAAGGTAACACACAAACCATTAAAAAAAGCCCATTTGGATGTAATTTTAAATCTGAAACCTTTCAGATTTTTTTTATTTATTATTTATTTTTATTAATCTTTCCTGTCTGCCATCCATATAGTTCCTATGCTTTTAATTTTAGTAATTAAACCCTGAAAAAAAAGGCTAATGACACTTAAAGTAAAAAGCACCAGACAATAACTTTTTATTACCTTGATTTGGCCCTATTGCCTCTTTTCCCTACTTACCTTTTAAAAGGAGAGAGGGAATGCAAAGAATCAAAGGCCTTTCTTCCATATATGCTTTTGCCGTAGTGGTTTGTATCATTATTATCATTATCGTTATAAGGGCACAGCCCCGATCCTCATAGCCGGCACAAGCTGGCCATATAATCAAAAAATGGAACTGGCCAGGAAGAAAAAAATATAAGAAAAAACATATAAAGTCCAAAATTTGAGTCTCAGTGCCAAATTTTAAGTCTATCTTTGTTTGTATTTATAATTTTCATTAATGCCTCTGATAGTGGTTAGCATATCCAGTTAGCATTTAGAAAGATTTGAGCTCCATTTCAACAAAGACAAAATTGATTTTTCAAAATTTCCTTTTGAAAGAACCCTGACGACTCTATAACGCAATAATCTTTGAATGCTGTTTTACAATAGCATGACATAATCTGTAGAGAATCTGATATCTGAGTTTTTATTATTTAAAAAATAATCTGTATAAAATGAAATATTTCCCTCTCAAGTAATCTAAAAATTTAACTTCTTATTCCATAAAATGTTTTAAGAACTGTATCTTTCAAAATTAATTTAACTTGTTGGGCAACTTTTGTTATTATTTTTCTGTGTGACAAAATATAATTATGTCATTTTATTCTGAAATGTATTTTTGTCATTTTTTGTTTTTTTCTGTAGCAATTTCTTTTCTTTTATGTACTACTGTCTTAAATTTTTGTGTAATCCAGAAAATATCACTTATATCTCAGTTTTATTGAAGTTCACAGAGGTTGTTTGCACATTCTTTAGGGGAATTTGCTTTGCTAATAAAATAAATCGCCTGCTTGGAAAAGTTTTTTTATGTCGTCTGTTATTTGACAATTTTCTTTTCATGCTAAGTGGGGTTTTTAAAGAAGCAGTGGATGGAAGGGTATTTTTTTAAATTATTATTTAAAGAAAAAAGAATCCTCATGCACCACAAAGTATTGGAAACATATGTTTGTACTTTTTCCAAAGGAAATTATTTATATTTAGTTATTAAAAAATGCTGTGAAAGCCATGATTTTTCAGTATCTCAGGTAATGGTAGATAATATTGTCAAAAGAAAGGGAAAAAACATCAAAGTTTGGCTTCAATGAGAAAAAGTGTTCAAAATACATATCCAAGGAAAAAATGGGATGTTTCAAATGTTGGAAAGGTAAAAACTTTAATGTTAAATGAAAATCTTGGAAATAAAATAACAGTTGCATAATCACAGTTGGCACTGAGCATTTGCTCAGTGCCAACTGTAAACAAAGTGATTAATGCTGAGTTGAATCTCAGAAAGGCAAAAAATCTAATGTGCATTTTCTTTCTTCACGACATATCGCTGAAAGCAGAGCATGCTGCAGAATTTTCTATGGGAAATAATTATTTGGACAAAAATGGAAAAAAGTTGTCACGGTAGATAAGTCTTGGGTATATTTCAATGACGGCAATAAAGAGATCCATTTATTATCATCAAAGAGAATTTTAAAAAAATCCTAGAATGTAGAAAAGATATATAAAGAGTTTCAAAGAAGTTTTTCAAGGGGATTTATGATTGTTGTGGGTTTTTGACATAATGACAGATAAAAATTAAAAAGAGTGCAGAAAACTGTTAAGATGGACTCCACATATTATCAGGAGCATATTTTATACCTAATTTCCAAATATGAAATACCTTCTCTTTACTCACATTGCCATCAATCAGTAGAACTGCATCAAGACAAAGCAAGAAGTTGCACCTCAAAATCCACTATTCATTTCCTGGAAAATATGGAACAAGAAATGTGTGTCAAGCCCATACCCTTCACTTATATCCGTACTAAATCTCCTGATATATCATCCACAGATTTTTGCACCTTTTAGACTTTTAAAAAGCGGATTGTTCAGACATCGACCTACAGCCTTCCATAGAACTTGGAAAGCTGTTCAAGACCAATGGGATAAAATAACTCTTCTGCTACTAAAAAAAAGTTTTATTGTCATGTAAATTATGGTGTAGAAAGATAGTGAAGGATAAGGGTTATCAAATAGAACATTTAAAACACAAAAATTTTAAGCAAAATATTTCTGTAAATGTAATAAAAATTGTCTAAAAAATGTGCAGACAGCCTTTGTATATTACTTTGCTTTTTAAACGAACTTTTGCTTACTTTAACTTTTTTTTTATAAAGAGGTACTGGTATTATGTTAAAAATGGAATCACCAATGAGGATATTCCTGACCCAAAATTCACCTTTGAAAACTTATGCAAGAGATCAAAAATTAATAAAGAATATTTATCTGCTTTTCCAAAGAAAGTTGAAAAATTGCGTGAAGAAGTAAAAGAAAATTATTACACTGCTGTTAAACAAGGTATAAGTAAGTATCCGTTTATCTTCTAAGTTGTATTTTTTTTTTTTTTTTTTTTTTTTTTTTTATGGGTCTGAAAGTATAGGATTGCCGTTCTTTCCCGTGGAGTAATTTGGGATTTTGACTTCCCCTCATCACTCGAGAAAAGAAAAGAAACATGCAAATACATTAAAAACATATAAAGAGATTTAAAGTATATGTAATTTGTACAAATGATTAGTTGTATTTTGAAACTAATTGAACCTTTTTAGTAGTTCATTGCAGTTTTCAATTTATCTTTTGAGCTCCTCACAAATATTGCAGTCAAAATTACATTTAGTTATAATCATTGCCTTTATGTTATTGAAGTTCAACAGTGGTTTTTCTGTTGTCCATGAATTAGTCTTAATAGAAAACACCTTTTTCTATAACTGCATTGGTACCAGGTAAACAAAGTATGAAATCTATAACTTCTGTGAGATGCATGCAAGGAGTATGATTTTCTTTGAAATAATTTAAAATTAAAATTTAGTGCATATCAGTGGGTGTTTCTTTATTATTCAGAGTTTATATATCTTTTTAAATAAGATATTTTGTTAAATAATTCTTTTTCCAATGCTATATATTCATTTTAAGGCAAATATTTTTTTGTGAAAACTATAGTTTTTTTCTATTTTTGTCCAATCTATTTGATATTTTAAATTAATTTAAAATGAGTAATTTCCTCAAATTGTTTATCCCATAATTCTACAAGATAATAAACCATTTTTAGCTCTAAGGGTGTTAGCCCAGAAGGGCTATTAATTTCATTTTGTCATTTTGCATCGATTCACTGTAAATGGTGAATCACTTTTCAAATTGTTGCCAACAAATATTATCGCCTGTGTTATGTTTAAAGAAATTAAATAATGAATAATTTGCATAAATGTATATATGTTTCTCACATTGTGATAAAACAACGGTACTTAGAGCCATCAAATTTTGAATAACGTAATCTTCCACTGAATATGGGGATCTGGAAGCCATAATTTGGAATTTGTTTTATTATCGATTTCATGTTTTGTAGCACTTTAACAAATTTTTGATTAACAAACTCAACAATTTCAAAGCGAGCAATAGCAACATTGTACGGGAAAAAAAATTTTTTATCTCCATCGCACAAGACTGTGTATTGGAAATTCTAAACATATGCTAATTTTAAAATTATTCTACGATATTGCTGCTGAATTGAATTTTATAGTTTAAATGCAAAGAACATGATATTTATTAAATAAAGGTTTCAAATGTTTAAAAAATTTTCAAATGCGCAAAATGTTTTAAAAAAGTTTCCTTTGGGCATAATTTAAAATCTGAAAACTTTCACATTTTTTTTCAATTATAATTTATCTATATTTCCATTTTCAATTATATTGTTTAATATAATTTTTAAACTTAGTAGTATAAATGTGAAATTGATTCTTTCTTTCAATTTAAAAATAAGATAATTAAATTCTTTTGAAGTTTTCATAATTGTTCTTTTCTCTCCTTCCATTCTTTTTACTGAATTATGAAACACTGATGCTTATGCTTGCAGAAATTGAAGCCAAAATTTGGCTTGTTCATTTAAAAAGAAATTTTTGGAAACTATTGCACAGTTGCAAAGTTACAGATGTTAGTGAATGTGTGTATGTAATATGAGAGCTCGAGAGAGAATGAAGAACCAGTGGTCTGTTACGTTGTCGGTTGGTCTCGTAAGTCACTGCTTCCCGACTATGACGCCACAAACCTATATCACATCAACAGTGCAGACGTTGGACTATGGGATATGAGACAGGTTAGTTTTGAGCCCAGTGATTTATTATGCCATATGCAGTGACAGCGTAGGCCAGGTTAGTATGGTGGTTGATAAAAATGTTCCATGTCGTCTTCATACAGAGCATACATATGTTGACATATTGGAAACACCACTGCTGATATGTCACTCCTCACACATAAAAATATGCTTCATATAGCATATCATTATACACCCAATGCTGCTAGGGCAAGGCTCCAAAAATAATACAATCCATAAATGGTCATACTACGGAAACTAAATTTATTTTGATGAATCTTTAAATGAATTGTTAATTCCAGGACATATATCCATGTAGGACACAGAGCTGTAATTGCAAGCCACTCTGTCAGGACAAATTTGTGCTTCTTTCATTATCTACCTTTTATTATTATTATTATTGTTATTATTAAATTATATGAACAAAATATTTTGAATTATACTGGTATCCTATGTAGCAAGCATAATGAACAGGCGCAATGCTTAGAGGAACAGTTAAGTTTTTCATATTTTATTAGTTTCTTGTATTAAAAGTTTCTTAATTTGAATTCAGATTAACAGCTAAATATATTTTTTGGGGTGTACATATCTTCTTTCTCTTTGAATAAAAAATTTTAACTTATGTATATATGTATAGAGAGAGTAGAATTGGATTACTTTGGATTATTGTAAAGCTGGCAAGGCTCTCTCTCTTAAGGAAGGGATGTCTTTGAGAAGCACTTACTGAGGGAAACTAGTTCTTATTCAAACAACCCATGTAGAAAATCATGAAATATCGTATATAGGGCTAGGAATCTGGGTCAGACTTACCAGTGTTTAGTAGTCATATCCATTCAGTCCTTGCTAGGCGGATATATATAGAGAGAGAGACAGATTGTCATTTTTACATATTTGTTTATTAATCTGCACCTATAATAAAATCTTTGTTTTCAAAATGTCAAACCCATTTTCAAACAAAAACAATAATTTCAGCTTCAAAATGTTTTCCTGTTAGGTGTTTATCTGCAGTAATATTCAAATAAATATGCTAAGTTGGAATGAACAGTGAATGGATATTTACATTGCTAAGCTACAATAATTGGTACTTTCGTATTATTACAGCCTTGTTTTTTAAACGCCAAGTTGATGCCAGGTTTATAGCCACACATACATTTTGTAGCTGCCATGCTTCCTCAATTGCTTTTAATATGGTATCAGAAACATTTTGTTATTCCAAGAATTTTTGGTATTTCGTAAGACTCATGATGATGGTGGACTATGACTCTTTGATTTTTATTCTGCCACTTAGCAGAGTGTCATAGTATTTCAGGCAGCTATTATTGAATGAACAAAATGAAATTTATAGTTAACAGTAAAATGTCTTTAATCTGCTTTTTCCAGTTTCTGTGTTCTATATGCTCGCTAGCAGTCTGAATAAATCATCAGTCCCTCTTGTACATGGTTGGCAATTTTTGCCATGAGTGTGGTTGCAAAATTCAGTCTATTCGGAACTTAAGGAGAAAGAATTCACCAGTTTCTCTACATAATCCACGAAATATTCAGTGTTATAGAGGAATCTCACCAGCCCCCCCTTTTTTTTCCCTGAATGAACATATTTCCATTTAATTCCATAATTCTTCCAGAACTACCCATTCATTTATTTGTTTATAGGATAATGCACCAAATATTCAGTAATATGGAGGAATCTCACCAGCCCCCCCCCTTTTTTTTTCTCCCTGACAAACGGATTTTCATTTAATTCCATATTTTTTCCAGAACTACCTAATTCACTTACTTGTTTATAGGTTTAGATGTAGAGAATGCACCTCTCTCATAAAACTGTTCCAATCAATTGTTGTATTTTTGTAAAGGCTGAGTTGCTTCTTCCACCACTTAATTGACGTCAAGTTCTCTGCCAACAAATAAATTAAGTTCTGCATTGTTGCAAACAGTATTCTGAAACCACGAAAACAGTTGGTAAAATGTGCGCTTTTTTTTCTCTTTCAACTTTTCACATTGTACCTCTAAATGCTTTCATTACTATGTAGGTTAATTTAATGGACACTTTCCCATATTTGAATGTGAAGTAAAATGTGTCTTTCTGGAAAGAATATATAGTATCTTTTTCACTTCTCAGTAAATATAACATTTCAAACATTTTTTTTTAAAGAAAATATGTTAATCATGGGAATATTTAAAGCTGTTCTTGTGACAACAGAATTATGAATGATCATAAATTTTTAATATTTGTATGAAAAAAGGTAATATAATAAGAATTGGTATTTATAATTATACATCATGTTCAATCAATTGTCTCTTTTTATTTAGTTGATTATATTTTATTGGATAAAGAAGAAAGAGAACGACTGAAGATTGAAAGAATTCCCCCTAAATGGCCCCACATGTATGTATTTTACTTTTCTATACAGTGACATAATATGTGATTATAGTATATCTACTTATAATAATAAACTGTTTTATACTTGATTACACTTTAAAAAATTCTAAAATTTATAAAATCCTTTATTAAGCATTTGGACTCGCATTTAGCGCATAATATTGCTATCTTTTATTTACATTTCAGAAAAAATGTCACCATTTGTTAAACATTTGTATTTTGCAATAAGTTCAATCTGGGAATAAGGTCAGATGAAAAACATAAGTATCAAAATCAAAAACAGTAGTTGTTATATTTTCCTTACTTTTTTTGAAAAATGTTAAGCTATTTTACAAACTAGCTCAAGATTAAGACTGTTCAATATTATATTAATTTAAAAATATGTTTTCTTCTTATCTTAAGCAATGTAAAAACATTCTGTGAATTTAATGAGAAATTTTATTGATGAAACATGAAAAGGCTCCTTTTATATTTGGTTTCTACACATTCAAACTGCAGCTCTTTTTAAGTATATTTCTAATGTATAAATGTATGAAAGACAATGCATGAATAAAATTATTCAGAATCAAAAATACTTGTTTTAAAGGATTTTTTTCTTATCATTTATAGGAAAATATTAGATACTTTGTGTTATAGAAAGCATTTTGTGAATTTAACCTAAAACAAAACAAAAAAAAAAAAAAAAAAAAAAAAAAAAAAAATACGAACTTTTTTTTTTGTCATGAATAAAATTAGTGTTTCTTAACATAACTAAAATGATATTTCAATTGCTTTCTTTCATTTTCACATATACTTCAGTTTGAAAAACAAAATATGTGCCTTGATTTGCTGTATGTGTGCTGGTTCGAAAATGAATTTTGAAAATTGTATGAAGATGAACTAGTATAATCTTTTTATTATAGCTAGTATATTGTAGGTTGCAAAAGCTATCAAACTCCGCAATTTTTATTACTACAGCTTTCACCTTGAGAGCTGCAGTCTTCACTCTAATACTCCCCTTTTGCTTGACTCTTGGTGGACGCTCAGTTCCTTCATTGCATGTTATGCCTCGTTGCTTTTTGGCTACTGTATGTGACTTAAAATCTCATGACATCACTGTTTGTGATACAACATACTCTGTAATATGATTTTTGAAGTACTGGTCATATCTCGGAGTAACAGAAGAACAAAGATAACAAAATGCAATCTGCTATTTCATTTTTATTCCAATTTATGATGTTAGTCAATATATAGGAAACTGAATAGTTATTATTATGCAATCTGTTTAGAGAGAGGATGTCAAAATTAACATGTCTTAAACTTTCAAATTTTGGAAAAATTATACACATGTGCAAATTATATGCATTATTTACATGTACATGTGTTTTTGAACTATGATTAATAGATATCTATCATCAGTTTACAGAGATTCGTTCTAAATGAATTTGTAAATTTAGCCATGAGACTAAAGAGTAGATACTGAAATATTAAGTTTTAATTTTTCTTTGATCTAATTTTTTAATTTCAGGAATTTTTTTCATCTTTTTAAATGCATAATGTTTCAATGTATTTTTATAAAATGTGTGTAATTGTTTTATAGTGAACAATGTTTATGAGCATGTTAGATAAAAACTTAGTATTATTAATTTATTTTATTATTTGCAAAAATTAAAATTAGGTTTGTACGATCACCACTTCCTTGGCCAAAATTAGTTTCATCTACTAAAGCAATGCTTCAGTCTAAGGTTCTTTTTTCTCGTCCATGCATGAGAAAGATTTTGAACCTTTGGGCACAAAAGTAAGCATTTTGCATTTATTAATGTAATTTTTATTTATGTTTGACAAGTGTGATGTTAATTCTTAATTTTTATTCGTTCACAAGTGGCCAATTGCAGGGCTTATGCCAGACCCAGTGCAACAGGTGAAACAATATAGGGGTGGCAAAATTTTACAATTCAGGAACAACCAGGTAGCAGAATTTTAGGATGCATCAGGCAGCAGTCACAGAGATTGCACCGGGTGGCAAAAAGTCTAATCCCAGTATTGGCCACTCGTAGCTTTAGAGTTCTATTGTAATTTAAATTCTGAATTAAACAGTATGGTACAGTTATTATGGAAAAGTAATATTTTTATATAATCTGATCCCTATGTATTTGCATGTAATTTTAAATAGGTATCAAAACCTTGATCTCATTGATATATCAGCATTTGCAAGTAGTCCTCTTCCTCATACCGTAAAAATATTCCGAAAATCAGTTCGTAAGCAGTGTACCAGAGCTAAACACCGTATGCGCTACGAGTGAGTCCTTTTATTGGTCTTTGTTGTTGTTGTTTTGTTTTATATTTACTGCAAAATTTTAAGCTTCTTGAGACAAAATGTAAACTTAGTTGTATATCAGTATGTGTATAACTATATTTAAAAGAATAATTTAACTAGCCAGAATACACTAATAAATATCATAATCAATCATTCATCAAAAGCAGTATACATTACTGTTTAAAAGTGCACACTAATTATTTTCCTCTTTGTCATTGATGTGTGCTATTGTGATATCTTTTCATTATAATGCATTATCTTTTGGCCAATGACAGTACCTTGACTGATGTTGTATTGATGTTGACCAATATCATGCATTTGGTCCTTGAATGGTTGTGCGGAATTATCATTTTCCTGAGTGACCTAAATAATAAATGAGACTCCCAATGTTGCCATGTCTGCATGTCGTCTTACTACATTTAAACTAATGACCTGAAATCTGGAATCGTCAAGACTTCAATGATTCCAGATCTTGGACTTTGTACTTTATTACAAATAAAGAAAACAGCACTTTTCAAAATGAAACATATTTATTTTAGTGGCTAGATATGGCACCTTACATTTGATCCAATATGATAAATATATGACACATATATCACTTTATGCACAATTTCTTATTGTATATAAGATTATTCTGCCATGCATGAGGATATTTTTTATAATAAATACTTGTTACAATAGAAAATCCATATTTTTAAGATGTAAAGCTGTTTTTTTAATACTCCTTAATGGTAAATGCATTAATAATGATTATGTAAAACTGAATTGAATTTGGTCACAATGATACTTTTTTAGAGGCTAAGGTATTTATAAGTTTAACCTAGAAAGGATTCACAATGCAGGAAATACATCCCAACCTTAATAAATTACAAAATTTGTCTTTAGTGACCAGCATTTGGTTGCCTTTCAAGACTGTTATGCTGCTAATTAATAGGAACCATATTTTCTTTTCTTTCTCTTTTTTAAATGGGGGAGAGGCTGGATAATTGCCTTAAGCATTATTCAGAATGGCAAGCTCATAGCTCATTTAGCTGTCTCATCATTGAGAATGTTCCACAGAAAGATAACACATTAGCCAAGCTTTATGGTGGAGTCAAGCCCATACTCTTGGATTTGAACTAGTAACAGCCTTTGCTAATCACTGTATCATCTGGGGCAACAACCCTGGACTTAAATATTAATTCTAGAAATTTACTGTTATGTTTTCCCTGAATGTTAATTATTGAAATTACTATCAATTTAAGGTTGAATTCTATTATTTTTCAAAATCAGTTTGTAATTTATTATTTTCATTTGAAGCATAAAATGCTTTTTTAAATGTTTCGTAGCTTTAACAGGAATTACTTTCAAAGACTTTACTTTTACATGACTCCTCTTCATATTATATGTTATAAAAAAATAAATATACTTTAATTGATTACATAAATTTCAAATGCACACATTTGAAATAATGTGCTTTTCTTAATTATTTTATTTATGTAATTGTGCTTTTATATCTTTGTTTCTCTTTTTTATTTTCCATTTTAATATATTTTTTAAATATTACATTGCACAGTTATCTTTTATCTCATTTTTAAATGTAAATTTTTTATTAGCCCAAAGGGCGTTAGCGCAAAAGCGCTATTAATTTCATTTTGGTATTTTCCATCAAAAACTGTAATTGTCCATTTCACTTATCACATTGTTGTCACCAAATATTATCGCCCTGTGTTATATTTAAAGAAATTAAATAATGGAGAATCTGCATAAATAAATGTATGTATGTTTCTCACATTGTGATAAAACAACAGTACCTAGAGCCATCAAATTTTGAATAATGTAATCCTCCACTGAATATGGGAAGCCCCAATTTGGAATTGATTTTATTAATGATTTCATATTTTATAACACTTTAACGAATTTTTGATTTTTTGATTAAGAAACTCAATGATTTCACAACAAGCAACAGCAACACTGTAGGGGGGGGGACAACAAAAATTTATCGGAAATTCTAAAGATACGCTCATTTTAAAATTATTTTGCCATATTGCTGTTGAATTGAATTTTATGGTTTAAGTGTGAAGAGCATTTATTTTAATTTTTAAATTTATTTATTTATCTATTTATTGTTTTGTTTTGTTTTTAGTTTATTTCACAGTATTAATAATTTAAAGATTTTTTTTTAAATCTTTTCATTTATTATGTTCCAATATTTCAGGTGGGTTGAGTCTTGTGTACAGATTCTCATTAGGCATCGTCATATTGATTGGGCACATTTAGTACCTAAAAAGGCTGGTACTTCTTCTGAAAGAATTCAAAAATACTTTTCATCTGTTTGTGTAATTATGTCTTCTCTCATGAGACAATTAATCACTGACAACATTTGGAAGTGGACACAACTGATTCACAAGTATGCAGTAAGTACATTTTTTATTTAAATTTTACTTAGAAATTTTGAAATATTGAATCATATTTTATAAATATTAGTGTTCTAATCACTAACAATGTTTTACAAGCATGAACTAACTATGTAAATACGTGAGGTAAGATTATTATAACATTATTTTGGATGATTCTTGTTCTAATATCAAACAAACCTAAAACTTCTGTATTTAATAAGTTGTAATTTATTCATTCATTAATTTCTTTTTTTCTTTTAATTAAAATTATCAGCAGTTCTCAACATTTTGAATAACGCATACCATCTAAACAAAAATTGAAGAACTTTAGTACCACCACTATGTTTTACAGCGATTATTTTTCAATTTCTGAATAGAAATATTTAAAAAATATAAATTTTGCCATTTCCACAACTTACTGGGTATTGGTATTAAAAATGCATACAAGATATTAGATTAAAAATTGGCTACCATTTTAATTATCTTTAAGATTTTAATTTAAGTTATAATACTTTAATTCTAAAATTTAGTGCAAAATTTGGGCCTGTTTTAGAAAAATCAATTTCTTTATGTCTGGTCTTAATTCACTTAGTTTTAACTGTAAATTAGCATCCGCTTTTAATTTTGTTTTGAATTTATTTTGTAAATATGACATGGAAGAAAATCTTTGCTCACGCAAATAAGTTGGGCAAAAAGGCAGAAAAAATTTAATAGCTTTATTCGAAATGCCTTTAAACCCTTTTTTTGGGTTCAATCAAAAGTTTGCAGTTGTGCTATTTTTCAAATCTTCAGTTAGAGTAAGATCATAGGAAGTTTCTATCAATTGTTCTTTATCTTCGCAAGATAAAATTTTAGATACATTTGAACAAAATGGATTTCTAATCCAATTTTCCTTGTCATGATCCTCGGGAAAGTACACGTTGAAAATATTTATCAATGAAAATTAAATTTTTAATGTTGGATGGTAATTCTTCTTTTATTTTCAAATTATTTTCTATTAGAAAACTTTCTAAACCTAGTGAAAAGCTTAAAATAATATTATCCAATTCTTTGGTTATTAGATCGAGTTCTTTTATGATTGCATTTATTTTATTTCTAATGGTAAACAAATTAACAATTTGTCCTTGTAATCCTAAATTTATTTAATTTAACTTTCCATAAACATCAGCTAAATATGCTAAACACGCCAACCATACTTCTGTAAATAAACGTTTTTGCAATTCAAACATTTAATCACTGAGGAAAATTTGAATTTCTGATCGAAGTTCAAAAAGATGATTTTAAACTTTCCCTCTGGGTAACCTCCTTACTTTGGAATGTAAAAAAGTATTTCATATTCACTGCCCATCTTTTGACACAAAATTGTAAATATTCTTGAAGCTCGGCTTTTAATAAATAAATTAATAATAATAATAAATAATAATAATTTTAAACAATTTTAAAAGTTTGATTCAAAACGATTTTCAGGTTTCCGGGGATTGTTTTGGCCACTAAAGGCTTATGATGAATGGAGCAGTGAGTAACTTTTTTTTTTTTTTTTTTTTTAAGAAATAACACCTGAGTGTTTCCCTGTTAAAGCCTGATCTCCATCACTGCATACAGCAATGCACTTATTCCAAGAAATATCATTCTCAGACATAAAACTTTCAATTACTTTGAAAATTAAATTTGCATTTGCTCTATCATGAAGAGATGCACAAAATGAATACTCTTCAGCAATTAATTTGTCTTCTTCGAAAGGTATGTAAACTAATCATTGAAGTTCGTTATATCGCTATTTTCATCCTATTGTGATGCGAAATACTCACTGTGTTTTATTTTTTGAATAAATGTCTTTTTATGGAATTTGTCATTTTATGAATTCCTCCACTTGATAACAGAATATTACTAAGTTCATTAGCCTATTTTTCATTAAATAATGTTAAAATGATGTCTTTAGCTGCTGGTAATGTAAGGTTTTCTCCAATAGTGTGAGCCTGTCCAGTCTTGGCAATTCTTAGGCTTACTAGGTGACTAGCTTCCAAAGCATTTTCACTTGAAGCAACAAAAGGTTTCATTACTTGTTTACTATTTTTGAACTCTGATAATTTCTTCTTAAAAGTATTCTTTAGATTTATTCTTTAAATTGGCATGCTTAGATTCAGGATGTCTTTTAAGAAAGATGGTTTCATACTTTGATTAAATGGTGAAAATGTGCTTTAGGCCCCTGCTTGGCGATTTTTTGAAAATCGCCAGTAAAATATCAGAATACGTTGCATAAACAAAGTTGCGAAGGCGGAGCTATGTGACGTTCATAAATGGGTGGGACTAAGATTGTGACGTCACAATGTATTCTCTACAGATGTAGAAATAAGTATACTAAATTTTTTGTATTTCAAACTACTATAATACGGTAAGTGAATTGTAACAATTATTAAAACTGTAAACAACGTCGCAGTCTCTCATACAGGGTGAATATTTTAAGCTTTAGTATTTACACAAATAAAACAGATTTTTAAAATTTAATTTCATATTGCGGAACATTTTAACTTATCATCTTTACAAAATTACCTTATTGCTACGTAACGACACCATCTCTTACGTACTAGTAAGTAAACAATCTTCATTATTTTCTAAAAATTTTTAAGCTTTACATTAATAAAAAAGAAAAATATTTATGATTGGATATCAACATCATACACAGCTTTCATTTCCCTGTTTCTTAAGTTCCTAAACCACGTTTTATACTCTAGTATTAGAATTCTACACGTTAATACATTTAAAAAATCTAATTTCTCACAGTGATGTCGGGGGAAAACCTCCCTAAACCCGGTCTTTAAGAAAATTTACTCAGTTTTATCGGCCGTTTCCGGCGGATAAATCTTTATGATTGCCGCTAAAAAGGCACGATAATGTTCATCACTTAGTGAGTGGTTGTGCCATTTTCGCCACATATATTCCGCTAAATATGAATCAAATTCGTCATCTACGTGGTTTGTATTTCGACGTAAATGACGTTTGATTCCAGACCAGGTACCTTCTATGGAATTAGTGTGCGCACCCGACTCGGGATCACGGAAGTACAGACGGTGGTTGACAGTCAGATGGCTATAACCTAAATTTTTTAGTCCACCATATGCCTTCCAGCAGTCCGAAACCACAGTTGATCCCGGAAACACCCATTCAACTATCACTCTCTCCAAACTCTCCTTTGATCTATTCTCAACCTCTCTAAAAAAAACATCTGTTCGTTCCTCTCTCTATACCACCAATTACCCAATGACCTGCCACGGGCTTTCCTCTTCCATACTTCATTTTCCCGAATTTGCTCTCATCCACTTCAACTATTACTCCTTCACCACCAATTGGAACACTATCATTTATCATAGTCGTCATACACACTTCTCTGCAAAACATAAACCAATCAACAACAGCATGTTCATACACTTTCACTTCTTGAATCACAGATTCATTTCCCATTTTCAAAAACCAACACCTTATACTCCTACAAACATCATGCGCATTCACTTTTCCTTGCTTTCTACATCGCCATTCAAATCCATCTATACTTCCCTTTCTCTCACAAAAACGCATATTTTCACCCCATTTCGAACAAACAAAAAAAGTAGCAATCAAACCAACTTTCATACACCATTCAATGACGGTACGTTTCCCTTGCACTTCCAATAAAGTAATAAATTTACATGTACAATCACTCACCTCTCTCAGCATCACAGATAAACGCATAGCGACTGTTATTTAACGAAATTTATGCAGAAAAATCTTAAAAACATACAGATAAAACCACTCGATTGATAACTACCAAATAACATTCAAACGGCAACTGAATTAACTGCCCAAATTACGAAGTAAAAATTTCAAGAGAAATCGTCTGCTTGGAAATTTTTTAACTGCAAGTATATATTTTTGAAAACATAAATTATCGTCTGCTACTTGACAATTTGTCTTCGGACATTTACATTTGTGCTCTCTCCGAAGAAATTTATTCGTATCTAGTTATTAAAAAACGCTGTGAAAGCCATGGCTTTTCGATATCTAAAGCTAGGATAAGTAATATTGTCAACGATAGGAAATTAAAAAAAGACAACAAATATAATAAAATTAAAAAACAAAATAAAATCTGAAATTTAAGTTTAAAACACAAAATACCATTAGTTTCGCTTAAACGCTACGTGTAATTCACAACAAATGGGAGAGGTTTAAACCTCGTAGAAATTACAACATAAACATCCCAGAATTGCACAAACTCGGCATCGTGCACAACGTCGGCATTGCGCACCACATTGGATCTGCCCATGTACATATCGATCTATTTTCACTTAAAAAAAAACATCCCAGAATCGCACAAACTCGGCATCGCACACAAACCTCGGCATTGCGCACTACTTGGCTTTGCCCATGTGACACATCGATCTATTTTCACTTAAAAAAAAAATCTCAAGTTGCACAATCCCAGCATTGCGCATCGGGCAGCATCGCGCATCGGCATCGGGCACAAACCTCGGCATTCGCGCAACCACTACATTGGCTTTGCCCATATGTACACATCGATCTATTTTCACTTAAAAAAACATTCCAGAATTGCACAAACTCGGCATTCGCGCAACACATTGGCTTTGCCCATGTGACTACATCGATCTAGTTTTCACTTAAAAAAAACATCCCAGATTTGAAAACACAAACTCGGACATCGCGCAAAACTCGGCATTGCGCACTACATTGGCTTTGCCCATGTGCACATCGATCTATTTTCACTTCAAAAAAATCCCGGAATTGCACACAACTCGGCATTGCGCACCACATTGGCTATGCCCATGTGCACATCGATCTATTTTCACTTAAAAAACATCCCAGAATTGCACACAAACTCGGCAATCGCGCACAACCTCGGCATTGCCCACCACATTGGCTTTGCCCATGTGCACATCGATCTATTTTCACTTAAAAAAACATCCCAGAATTGCACAAACTCGGCATCGCACACAACCTCGGCATTGCGCACCACATTGGTTTTGCCC